ACCTGAAAGTGCACCTTCAGGTTTCAGGTACCCTGAGTGTCTGCACCATGTTCCGATTGAGGTGTGTACGGAAAACCCTATAGGCGTCAGTGTTCCACGAGGAAATCCAAATTGCCATGCAGAGTCCGAGTCAGGAAATTCTCTTGTTGGACAAGTTGACAAAACACATGACTTGGGTTGGCCGAAGAACAATCTGGAATTGGATGGGAGGCTTCGGGTTTTAGGCCATGTAAACCCTGATGAGCAGAATGGTCAACTAAATGCGACCAATGCAGCATCTTGTCAAATTCCCCAGAGATCTGTTACCCAAGATCTGAGCAGGATAAGTAGATCAAAATCTGATTTGATCGTAAAAACCCAACGTACAGGTGAAGGTTTCTCACTCAACAAGTGTACTAGTTCAGCTCCTAAGCCTCTGGCAGTATCCCATAAAGAGGGCAGATCTGGTCATAGCAGGAGCCATTCGTTTAGTTTGTCTGATACTGAGAGACTCGACAAGAATGGAGATGTGAAGCTGTTTGGTACAGTACTTACTGCTGATGAGAATGGAATAAAACAAAAACACAATCCATGTGGAATTGTCAGGTCGTCATCAACCTTGAGCAGGGACCATGATACAAGACATCATTACATTAATCAGCAACACCTTCAGAATGTTCCCATTACAAGCTACGGCTTTTGGGATGGCAATAGAATTCAAACCGGGCTCACATCTTTGCCAGAGTCGGCCAAGTTGCTTGCAAGTTGCCCTGAAGCATTTTCCACGCATCTTAAGCAGCAAATTGGTAACAGCAAAGAGATTCTGCTTGATGTTAATGGTGGAATTTTGAGCTTTGGTAAGCATAACGAAGATAGAGCTGAGTCCTCAAGCGCTAAGGATGAAGGTAACATAGGAGGGGTAAATGGTGTAGCAGAGGCAGCCACGTGAATTAAAAAGCTTCTTAGGGTCATGATTTAGTTTGTTTTGGAGGATTGGCATATTCTTTGTTTGTCAACCTATGTGTATTATATCTCTTTTAACATCTTTTTTTTTTTAATTTAGAATGTCAGTTAATATAGGCATTTTTTTTTTTTGGTTCAGCTTAAGTTAGGGGCCTGCAGAAAATTCATAGCTGATGTTTGTATTTGTAATGTTGCTGATAATAACAGAGAGAGCTAAGAGCTAAGCTTAGCTCTCTGTATGTTTTTCAAGAAGGATAACACTTGATGAACAAGCATGTCTAATGTTGTACAGTGAAAGAAAGACTAATGCAACTTCACTTGCAGGAGGATAAACTCTTTTCTTCTGTCTCAGAACTTGTTTGGAGGATTGGTGGTAGAGGTGCCACGATTTTGACTACCTGCAAAACGTGAAGGGCATGAACAGTCGGTTGGTTTAGATATAAGGACTTAAAGATCTGGTAAAGAGCTGTCAACTTTTGCAAAGACATTAACAGATTCTACATGAGTTACCTTATGAGTGTTCAACAGGTTTGGTAGCTCTACTTGATGAGCATGCAGATGATATCCACAATCCCCAGGAACAGCCTGATTTGGCCTTCTGTAACCCCTGCAATATATTCAGCCATAGTGCATTTATCATTTCAATACCATTACGACTAATGCCATAACAGATGATAGCATCTAAGTTACAGACCAATCTACACTCCACATGAATCTACCTATTAGATTGCATCGTACTACATTAGTACATTGCTTAGCTCGAACATACTTAAATTTCCGAGGACTGTTCATCTCAAGGAATACAGAAAACGTATTGGAAACTATAAGTATGATGGAAAAGTGATCATAATTTGTACCCATCTTCGGCAAAGGCTGCATCATCATCTACAAGATCTGGATCAAAGCACTTTGGTTGGCCGCCCGCTACATACAGAGGGTCCCCTGCACTTTGGTCAGCATGTAAGCTATCTGTTTCTAAGTTTCATGCTTGCTGACTTGCACTAAGATTCTATAAACATCATCACCTCTTTCATAGACCACTGCCAAAAGAAAACTTATGTGTAGCAAAATCTTCCTAGACTATGCCATAAACAATTCATGCCCCCTAGACTGCAACCATATGTAATCCATATAGCTCATACAATTATAACTAGTTGAATCATCACGTGGGACTAAGGCAATTTTTATCCATCAAAACATGATTGTATTCAATGTTTTACTCAATTATTCATATCACCAGTAAGCAGTTCTGTTGTTCCATGATTGCCTAGTTGATAAATAACTAAAGCTGCAAAAAACTCTAGAGAAATCTTGTCTTTCAAAACTACGTATCCAACTTTTCTTATTCCATACTAGAGAACAGCAGCTCAAAACGTGTGACAGACCAGAAGGAAACAGAAGTTTTTACCTACCAAGGGATGTCCCATGTATGCAAGATGAATCCGGATTTGATGTGGTCTTCCAGATTGTATCTCTACCTGTTTTGCATAAAAACAAGATGATTGTGAAGAACTTCGTTTTGGTTTTACTATCTCATTCACTTTCTGCATTAACCTTGTGTGACATATGACATTTGGAAATAAGATGGAATAGAAGAAAACCTTAACCAGCGTGCAATTTTTTTGCTTGTCCCTCTCCAGAACAGCTACTTTGCTGAAAGCAGGTTTGCCTGATAAGAAAACAAACAAAAAACGTTATAATGAGAACAAATTAGATTTAGTGTGAGTTAATCTGTTGCTCTAGCCTAACGGTTGGTATAAGATAGTAGAACTAACCTTCTGGAGAAGCAACATATAATCCTTTTGCGACCCCAGGATATCGAACCACTCCTATAGGCTGTTTGATTACTACCTTCAAAATGTAAATAAAGAAGGAGCATTGTCCATAGACGTTATCTCAGTGCATATTTAGGTATATTCATAGCATTTGAAAATGAATTCTCAGCGCAAAAAATAAAATGGCCTTGCCTCGTCTTCTTCAACTATACCATCTGCTAGTGCTCGATATATCTTTGAAAGTTTTCTTCCTTTTCCACACTCTTGATCCAGGTTGCTGTAAGAATGAAGAATTTAGTTCCTAAGAACATAGTGAAAAAATCCAATAGATAATACCAAAGATCTTTTCAAGAATAAGCTGGGTCAACAGAAATCATGCTTGAACACACCCGGACCCGACAAGAGATGTTCCCTCAGCAAAATACGCTGCAAGTTTCGTTTTTGCAAGCTTTGTCTTCGCACAGAGAAGTATACCTGAAAAGAAGAGTCCCATCCACAAAACAAATAACATAAATTGAAAACAACATATCGTAACAACTTCCCCAGTAGGGAGATATCATGTAGAGATGCTTTTGCGATGCAAACTGATAAGTCCAGTGAAGAGTGCAACATTTATAAAGCCATGGAGAATACTAGCATCATAGTTGGTCAAATAAAAATGAAAGAAAAACACGTCTATATACTAACCTGAAGTTCCTCTACCCAGTCGATGTACAGGGACAGGGTGTGGTGATTCACGCGGTCCGGTGTAAGAATCAATTTTACCGAAACACCACTGCAGCTGCGTCAACACAGTCCGTTGCTGGAAAAGTCCTCCGGGCAATACTTGAAGTCCAGAAGGCTTGTTTAAAGCGATCTGCATTATATGAAATCCACCAAATAATATATACACACATCGATTCCAGTTAGCACTGAAAGAGCAGAATATGCACACCAAATAAACCAAACAAGAAGCTGCATTGGTCATTTACTTGTATATAGCAGCAAGCAAAATACAGCTTTAGACATCACAACAAGATTTATGTATGTTTTTGTTCAGAGCAGGAAGTTACCAAATCATCATCTTCATACAAAACTTGTAGCGAGTATGGCGTGTCAGGCTCCTTCCAAGGAAGCCTGTGGTAAACTAACTTGGAACTACTCCTGAGAAACAAAAAAAAAAATGAGACACCTTTACAAAAGCTAAACACTTTATAAGAGTTCCTATCAATGTAGGAAAAAGAACCTAAGAAGTGTGTTGGGATCTTTGACAACTTCACCGTCAATTTGTATCTGCAAAACGTCATACACAAGAAATGAAATTACAAATTCTCCAGAATCAAGAGAGAAATTATGTGATAATAAAGAACAAACCTGTCCGTTTTGGATTCGTTGAATCCACCTGATAAACGAAAGATGATTAGAAGAATGGAACGTAAAAACGATATTGTAGACGAAGAGTAGAGGAAGAAGAAGAGTAAGAACCCTAGCAAAGGAGCTGAACTCTTGTATTTGGTGAAGTAGAAACCTGACACCGTCGTTAACTCTGTATACAACAAATTCCACAATTTCAGAAAAAAAAAACCAAAACAACAAAAAAAAAATCAAATTTTTTGAATATTTACCTGAATCAGAAGAAGAGATGACATCCTTGTATGCCAAACCATCGTTGAGCTCCGGCCATGGCAAGCCGATACTTTGCGGCGGCGGCGACGGCGTTGACATCGTTTACCGGTTTGCCTCAATTCTGGTTTTTTACGAGAGTTCACCTCTTGTGCCACTAATCGAGAAATGCTAACCTCTTATGCCACTCTTATGTTTTGTTTTTATTTTTGAATTTCTTTTAATTCGTAAAATTGAGTAAAAGACATAAAAACCAAACCAAATTCTAAAAACTACGACCCAACCTTAATAATCCGATCCAAACCCATGAAAAATAATCCGACCCATAAAAAATCCCCAAATTTTACCCTAATCTGAAAAACACAAAAATAATCTAAGTGTAAATCGGAAGAAGAAGAGTCGAGTTCTCGAAACTGTAAATCGGAAGAAGAAGAGTCGAGTTCTCGAATCTCCGTCGCTTCTCTCCGTCGCTTTTCATCGGAATTGCTTTAGACCGTCCGTTTTCGTCGTCTCCGGCGTCTTCGTGTTGCCTCGGACCGTCTGCGTCTTATCCGCCTTTTGTCTCCTCCGCGTCTCGTCTCCTCCGAGTTCGTCTTCGTCTCCTCCGTCTCCGTTTGCATATTCGTCTCCTCCGTCTCCGTTTGCATCTTAGTCTCCCCCGTCTCCGTTTGCGTCGCTTACGTGCGTCGTTTCGTGTCCGAGATTCTTCGTGTCCTTCGTGTACTATTGGAGATTGTGGTCAGTATGGCTCGCGTGAAAGTCGGAGATAGGGAATATGAATCAGGGTCTCGAGAAGGGGCTGTAAAGGATCCAACCGAAGAAACTCTTGCAGAAGAACTGACTGAGATTGGTTCTGGTGTCGCTTCAGATGCGGCTCCTGTAAATGTTGCAAGAGAAGCTTCCGTTGATGCAACTGAGGATTCCGCAGAAGGAAGAACAACAACTGAATCAGAAGTAGCAATAGAAGCTCCTTCAGTTCCCGAAGTGTCTGATAAAGAAGTAGCTCCTTCAGCCACCGAAGTGTCTGATAAAGAAGTAGAAGGTGTTTCCTTTCCCGAATTGTCTTATAAAGAAGAAGATGTCAGTGTGTCTGATAAAGAAGAAGAAAACCGTGAGTGTGATAAAGAAGAAGAAGTCCATGAGTCAAATGATGGTCAGGGTAATGATGGTGATGAAGAAGAGAGAATTAGTGATGTTGTGGGTAGAGAAACCAATGCTGATAATGAGGAAGATGAGGTTACTGGTGTTATTAAGGTAAGTAGTACATTAGCTTAGATATCTGTAGAATATTTCCGGATGGAACAACTAGTAATTGTATGTGTTTGAATATGCAGGATATATTTGATGATATTGCTGCTGAGGAAGAGGAGAGGGTTAATGATGTTGCAGCTGATACAGATGAGGATGATGATGATGATGAATTCCAACCACTGCCGCCAGAGAGCATGTACTTTGGTCCAACTGAGTACATGCTTTTGTGTAGGACAAAACTTATCTTTTTTGAGTATTTTGCGGTTATCTTTTATTAGGATTCAAAACATTGTACTATCTTTTGGTTGTGTTGTGGTTTATTTGCATTTTATGTATTTGAGGTTTAGGATGATTCACATATTATATTTTTAAAAATTATGCATCTGGTCCAACTACTAACAAATGTGGGACAACTATTAACACAAGTAGGACAACACGGACAACTACTAGTAATCCTGGGACAACTATGTGATAAAACAGGGACAACTAGTAAATACAATAAATTTAAATTTAAGTTGTTCATGTTGAACCAGGGACAACTACTAAATAAAATAAATTTTAAATTTAGTTGTTCCGGTTGACCCAGGGACAACTACTAATAATCAGGGACAACTATGTGATAAACCAAGGATTACTACTAATAATCCAGGGACAACTATATGATAAACCAAGGACAACTACATATAAGTCGAAGTTGTACCGGTTGAACCAAGTACAACAACCATTACGGCAAGTACAAATACTAATAAGACTTCATGAAAACACAAATCCATATCCAAAACACAAATCCATATCCAAAATACAAATTCAAATATTACAAAGAGTAGGTGGTAATCATACAATATTACCACCTTGAAAGTAACCCCTTAAGCCTCGCAATCTCGACTTCTTTTGCGGCTAACCTCTCTTTAAGGTCATCAATTTCTTCACGCATAAGACGAAGATTTTCTCGGATCGACTCCAAAGCAAGATTTCCACCCCTCGCATATTCAAAAGAGGTTAAAACGGCGAGATAACCCAGATTTTGAGCAATTAACCCAGATCAAACTTAAAGCAATTAAACCTTAAATTTTACAAATTCCAAATTAGAAGAAAGTAGATCTATTAAATTGAAGAAGTCTAAGAGAAGAGAATTGCCATACCTAATAACGGTGAGATAACCCAGATTTTGCAAAATTTGAAGAAATCTGAAAACCCTTATTTTTGGGTTTCTCGTTTTCAAAGGAAGAAGAGAGAAGACGAAGAAGAGAAAGAAGAAGAGAGAAGCGAGATGTGAGAGAATTACCCAGATTTTGCAAAATTTGAAGAAATATGAAAACCCCAATTTTTGGGTTTCTCATTTTCAAAGGAAGAAGAAGAGAGAAGACGAAGAAAAGAAAGAAGAAGAGAGAAGCGAGATGTGAGAGAGAGAGAGAGAGAGAACTTATTTCCAAAAATCATCATAGGGTGGGCCCGGTTTGAGTCAAAAGCTAGTCAAAGACTAGTGTGAACACATTTATATGGGACCCTTGACAATTAGATTTTCAACATAGTTGTCTTTAGATGTTCAGTTGTCCTGATTTGCTCACAGTTGAACTATTTCAAATTTTGTAATTTTTTAGTTGAACCTTAAATACAACCATAATTTTCTAGTTGTTCCCATCAATTTCCAAATTATATTGGTGTTTAAGAAGTTTTTATAGAATAATTTGTAAGACAACATAGTTTTCATACTTATTCCATCTTTATAGATGATCTTGAACTAAATGTTGCTTGTTACCTAATGAGTGATTTGTGTAAAACAAGTTTATGTAAACAGTAATTATTGATAATGTTAAATATCATATATTAAAAATATTAAATGTACTTTCAGAGTTTTAAAATGTTTAAAATCACTTATTATGGTTTAATTTATGTAATTTTGTATTTGTGTAGTATTAGTTGTTCCCAGTTGTACCGGCTGAACCCAGAAACCAATCTTACTCATATTGCAAAGTATAAAAATAGTTTATATTACAAACTAGTCTTACAAACAATAATCCATATATTACAAAGTAATATTAGTCTTACAAATAAAAATACAAAGTTGTTTAAGTTGTTCTGGTTGAACCCAAATGGTTACACAGTTGTTCCGGTTGAACCCAAATGGTTCAGTTGTTCTAGTTGAACCTAAGTGGTAAAACAGTTGTACCGGTTGAACCAGAGAATTAATCAAGTTGCTTCTGGATCCTCGGGCTGTAGCCATCTCTCCAAGTTAATTCCTGAAACAGCTTTGTTACTCTTTCTCCGTTTTTCTCCAACGGATGGAAACTGTTTATCTTGATTTCGTCCTTTTTTTCTCCAACGGATAGAAACCTTTCCACAGCCAAAACTTCATTCACATCCTCTCTTACAGTTGAACTTATTCCTTCATCACCTCTCACATTTGGAACTAGCTCCACATAATTCACACCAACTGAACTTCGACGCTCCGGTACTAAGATTTCCACCCTCTGGTTATTGTCACTTAATACCTCCACATGCAAAACTGGAATACGACCCTCTTCATCACATTCTGTTAAAAAAATGTATACGTCCTCATCATCTACAATATATGTCTCTCTCCGAGCTTTAGATAGATTGTAACTCAGTTTCAGATTCCCGGGGACTCCATTCTGGCCAACCTTCGTAGTGATCTTATCTAATAGCACCGAATAAGTTATCTTCTCTAAACATGCCGTCTTAAACGATATAGCGTATAGTGAATTTTTATAAATCCACTCATTCCCTTCTGAATAGTACCCTCCATAGTCAAAATGTACGTTAGTCTGGCTTTTTTTCTTCATCGCCTCCTGAAATTACAACAATTTTAAACATAATTACCAACACAATTTCTCACAGTTATACTAGTTGTACCAGTTGGCCTACATTCTATCATTTGTACCAGTTGGCCTATACTCTAACAGTTGTACCAGTTGACTATGGAGGGTACTATCCTGAAAATACAACAGTTAAAAATAGCACAAATCTACACCATTTCTCACAGTTATACTAGTTGTACCAGTTGGCCTACATAATATCAGTTGTACCAGTTGGCCTAAATACTATCAGTTGTACCAGTTGGCCTAAATACTATCAGTTGTACCAGTTGACCTAAATACTATCAGTTGTACCAATTGACTATGGAGGGTACTATCTTCAAAATACAACAATTAAAAACAGCACATACACCATTTGTCACTGTTATACTAGTTGTACCAGTTGGCCTATAGACTATCAGTTGTACTAGTTGGCCTATAGTCTATCAGTTGTACCAGTTGAATAATTAAACATAGTTGTACCGTTGGCCTATCAGTTGTACCTGTTGGCCTACATACTATCAGTTGTACCAGTTGGCCTATAGTCTATCAGTTGTACAAGTTGAATACTTAAACGTAGTTGTACCCTGTTGAATAACTTTCTCTTAGCTGTACCAGTTGACTGAGATCTGACTCGATTCTACTTAAAATGTGACTCGATTCAACAATGTACGAGCTACACTCGATTCTAACATTCCCATTCGCCAATATACTATCAATTCTTCCAAAAAACCCCAATTCTCATTCAAATCCCTAATTTTAAAGATTTCCAAAATACTCTTAAATTACCTAAAAATCTATCAATGCAGCAATAAAAAGAGGATACATGAGAAGAAACTAACCGCTTTCGAGAAGGAGGACGCGGCTGCAAAACCGTACGTGCAGATCGGCGGGAGCGAGCTATGGCGGAGGGAGAGAGAAATGTCGGGGTCGGAGAGGAGAGAGAGAGAGGAGAGAGAGTGGGACGAATTGAGATTTTTTGTTTTTCTTTTTTTGATTTCTTGTTTATTTCATTAAGGGTATCTTCGGTAAATCACATTCTTGGTGGCATCTAGATTTTTTAGTGGCATGCCAGATTTTTTTTTCCCAAAAAGTGGCATAAGTGGCAAAAATTCGTTTTTTACTTTACTCTTTCAAATCGAATCGGGTAAAATAAAAAACCAAACAAAAATTGAAGGAGAAATTAATGAACCAAACCGAAATAGACCAATCACATCCGAGCCATACATACACTAGTTATCCACTTATCCTAATCAATCTCGTACCAAACTCGGTTATTCAAATCTTATTTTAAACCAAATTTCAAGAGTTTTTTTTCTTATCCTATACTCTTTTAGCTTATGATATTTTCTTCAAAATAAATTATTGTCGTTTTTAGTATTGCTGATCATTATTGATTGGTTTTGATAAGAAAAGCAAACAAGAGTTTACCCGTTTGGAAAGAAAGTATTGGTTATATTTTGTAAACAAAAAGTACGACAAGGGTTTTTTGTTTTGGTTGGATAGTACTCGAATCCAATTCTTCACATAAGCTTTTTACTTTGTCGGTGAAAAGTTTCTTAAAGCACAAGTAAATTCACAACTTTATGAGTTTTGGTACCTGGACGTCAGAAATCGAAAGAAAAACAACTGATTACTTTCTAAAACATTACTAAAAAGGATTAGTTGATATTGTGAATAATTAAGGGCATACAATTGAACGAACCTTCCTTTCTTATTATAGCCATGACGATCAGTTACAATTAAAGTAACTAATAGATTATCCAAAACAAAACTTGAAAACCCTTTTGACCAAACCTATTCCTGTGTGGCTTTCTTGTACTCAGGCTTCAGCTCATAAGTTCCTTGGTTGCTCCCTTTGTTGTTGTATATGCAAAGATCTCTCAGCAAGTCTTTCAGGAATTGCTGCACCAAATCCACATTTCCATAAGCAACACAAACTCTGATTTTTCGTATTCGTTTTCTTGTTTCTCTTCTGAATTCGCTCAATCAAGCACTAAACAAAAAGTCTGTATTTTCCGTCTGCTTACCTCTGGCTGATCAGTTTCCTGAATGAGTAGCCTCAGAGTCCAATTTGATTGTCTTTCAAAGAGATTAAACATGACCTCTTCCATCTCCCTACGGTCCCTTCTTGTTCTCTTCATTTCTGATGTCCTATTTGTCAATTTCTTCTTTTCCTGATACAAATTAATGACTTGTAAGAATTCACGATCCTTTAAGAAACAGTAATGTGTGTGATGCAATTGGGAAAGATAAATACAGGAGCGGCGGTTGGGATTATCATTCCTGGCATTGGCCTCATATGCATTCCTCTGGCATTATCAATGACCTGGTCAAGAAACCAGAAACATGATCATGGAAAATGGCACAAGAGGTTTGTTTGAAACTCCAAGTCGCCACATAACCATCTTTACAACAACCTGGATCTGTCTGTTTTTGCCCATATACTTGTTTGTTCTTTCACGGCACAATCTCCCATAGCTCTCGATGTTCTCGTTATGAGGCCTCATGTCAAATTTGTTCTTAATCTTCCCTTCTACTGACATCTTTCCTACAAAGAACATTGTCAAACAAAATCAGGTTCACCTCTGGATTGTAAATGAACAGACCAATGCTAAATTCTTCACCCAATGATCCAAAAGCTTATAAATGTAACAGCAACAACAAAGATATAAAAATGCCAATTACTCAACACAATCCACTTTTCTGACCAACGTAACCAAATATTCATGCCATAGATGAAACCAACTGTTGGAATATAATTTCGGATCACGGAAAACAAAGTGTGGAGAAGTGTTCAACTTACCATCTGAAGATTCACAGAAAACATTCATGGGGATGAAATCTTTAGACATATCTAAGGTGTAACGCCTCGGCATGTTTCCAGATTCAGCTCGAGCTAATTCCATTACGAACTGCAAGGCAAAAGAGTAACCATGTTTTACACCAAGAAAGTCGCATTTTAAGTGACAAGCAAGAAAGTTCATAGAAAGCAAGCTCAAATGTAGAAAGACAACAGAAAAGATCTCTACTTTGCCGAAATGGTTACAAACACTACCCAATACTCAAATGACAACGAATTTGATGTTGGTGACCTCTGATCAAAGTGAGGACCACTCGATATCTCCACTCAGAAAACCCATTTCCCCAAATCCATGGAATTTCAGAGAATGTAAAAGCAAGTTTCTCAAAGGATGAAATTTTTCCCGAATGGTACTATAAACCCTAAATAGAGAAACCACGCAATTCCTGACGAAGATTCAATGTAACGAGAGATACGCATGCAGAGAGGACGAAAATGCAAAGACGAAAGAATCATACTTTGGTCTCTTCGTCCTCGGGAGCCAGAAGATCGACGTTGAGGATGACTTTAGCGTCAGGACGGTACGGATCGTCAGGAAAAGGAAGAGATTGAAGAGAACTCGCGACGAGAGAAGGAGCTTTCATCAGCAACATTGATCTCTCTGCCAAACCCGTTTCCAATGCTTCATTCTCATTCTTCTTTACCTTAAATTCTACCTTGACGTCTTCCATTTCTTTCAGACTCTCTGACACAGAAGACGAGAGAGAGAGAGAGACGATGGAAAGTTGGCAACAGAGGAATTCAAAGCGCGTTTATATACTAACAACCTTAGGCTTCCCCAAATTATTGCTAAATAGAATCATAAAGACGAAAGCTTTATTTATAGATTGCATTTGTCAATGTTAACCACGCACTAGAACGACTACTACAAAAACGTATATACAAAGGAGATCAATCTCATTGAACATGTTCAGGTCTTCTCTACTCATGAGCAATTGTGGTTTCATACACGTGACCGCTTTGTTTTTCTCTCAGCTAACTTGTTATTCGCATTTCGTTTGTTTGAAACCTCTTTCTTTTGTGTCCCATTCAAAGCTCCAGTCTTTGTCTCTTCCTCTTTCTTCTTCTTCATTGCATTATCCAACGCATCCTTCACAAAGAACTTTAGCCTCCATAGTGTTGGTTCATCCTGCATACAAGCAAAACTAGCTAAGAAACAAGAAAAGACCTGTCTTTGGACCAGAAAGCATCAATGAAGGTGGCGTTAGTAAGAGATTTACCAGTATGTCCATCTCAATACTCACTTCCTCTGCTCTAGGTTGGAAGCTAGGGTCAGCCTGAGCAACTATACCCAACACTTTCTGTATATCATCCGGAGACAATTTTAATAATGCCAACCCAATATTACGCTTCTCCTCAATTGTAATTTTCCTGATACAATCGTTCACCGGTGTAAGCAAATGATACATTGACCAGATGACCCAAAAGAATTCAAATTTAAGAGTGATTTAGGCCAACCTGCATCTTTCCACAACTTTACGCATTAGCTTCTCCAGCTCGTCATTAGCATGGCAAATCTGGACAGCAATATATCAGTTTGTTAGTTTAAAGGTTAACAATACAAAAGGGTTTCTGATATCGGAAAAAAAATTAACCTCGTTGCCCAATTCTCTAGTTGTTTTGATATGAGATGCTTCCTTTGCTAGCAGCGCCTCTGTTGCTGCTTGCTTATCCTCTTCCTCCCGTATTTTCTCCTGTAATCAATTTTGTTAAGAACTTGGCAACTTAAAAAACCTTGGTGCTACTAAGCTCCATCAAGAGAATAGTCTGAAAGATAATAACATAATTTTGTTACCTCTTCTTGAACCTTTGGAAGAAAGTGTGCCCATTTCTCCTCAAACTTTTCCAGTAACTTTTTCGCCATAGAGTAAACATCACTTGTTTCTTCATTATAATTCATTGCGTTCTCAAACACTAGCCGCATATCAGCATATATTTGCAGGACATGTTTGTACCCGGTACCATCCTTAGCCTCCATTTGATTCTTTATCGTGCTGAAGTCCATGGGCTTGTCAATAACCTACAATCAGATCAAACATGTTATAAAGAGACCTGCTTACAGAATAAAGACGGCGATCTCATAGCATTAATGGAAACCTGAGGAAAACATACACAAAATCTAAACGTATTCACAGAGCAAAACATAATAGTGTACTTTTAAGAATTACCCCACGAAATTCTTGTACTTCTAATAGGCAAAAGCTATTTGGTATGATGATCATACTCAAAGAATATACCGATATAGAAAGGTGAAATTCTGGTCGCTCTAATAGGAAAATGCAGTTTTATCAACTGTAAAGTCCGATTGTATTTTCAAGCAAAGTAAGAATCAAAAGGGAAAGTCAGTAGCTCTAATAAGCAAAAGGTATTTACTCAGCTGATATTTATATGTTTTACCAAAAGAAGATATCAACAAGGAAAGTCAAAAGCTAGAGATGAAAAACGTTACCTCAAAGTAGTCATGCAAACCAAGACCTTCTACATTGACAGGATGCATAAATGGCCATGCGCACTTATGCTGAGTTATCTGAAAAATCAATTACAATCAAAATTAATGATCCAAGTTCTCCCTGGAGACATCAATTTCAGGTGAAGAGATGATTCTACCTGACGAAAGATTGTTCCAAATTGACGCATAAGATCCTGCATTCTTTTAGCAGCAACAGCTTCTCTACGTGCCGCCTCTTGTTGAATCTTCCTAATCCCCACAACATGTCTCCCTTTTTCTGTATCTTTAACAATAGAGCCAGAGTTTGAGACACCAACGCTCGAGTAAAACTCCTCTACTTCTTTCAGTTTATGCTCAAGCTGCAAATACAAACATCAACCATCCATTGAATCAACATGTTATATCTCATCTATATATGACTATGACACAACAAAATCAATTCAAAGATTATTGACGGCAAAACCCTAAGGAAAAGAAAATTTGAGATTATGTTTCTAGTAACAGGAATAAAAGCTCTAAAGGAGAAGACTTTATTACCGAATCAACCCACTGTAAAACCTCGTCGACACGCTGCTTGATGCACTCGGCGTCGACAGAGAAAACCTGTAAACCTCCGCCGGCGACTTGACCTAACTCTGGCACTGAGTCAGCCATTTACAGTTTTTCAGAACCAACCAACAAAAGAAAATTCCCCAGAAAAAAAATCTGCAAAAGTGAAACAGGGATGGGTTTGAAGATGATGGACAAAGGAAGAAGACTGAAAGAGCCGTGTGGTGGAGCTGGTGGACTACCTGTCGTTTTTAGGTATGGAAAACGACAAATATTATTCTAAACGCTATCCGGGCTATTGAACTCGTGAGCTCTCGCACCCTTAGCCTAAAGCCTGGTTTAAAATGTAAACTACTTTTGTTTGTGTAAATTAAAATGTTCTTCAATAAATTTCCTTAGATCCGAATGTGGGATTAGTAAGAATTTGCTTTGTCAATGTTTGAGTTCTTATTTGGTAATTGTAGTCCATTTTTTTGGAGTCTTAGAGGACATGTTAAAAAAAAGAAGCTACACAAAACAAGTTTGGAGATAAATGATGGATGCTTAAATATTAGATGACGACATATTCATTTAGGTTTCTAAATACACTACGGTCTCGATATCCTCCCAAAAATCCATATGCAAGCACTTGGTTACTCCAAATCTGTCGCGTAATGGGCTTATTTCAACCCTTGTTGTCATCTTATTCCTCTCCAAATCATAAGTGACAACATGTATTGGTTGATCACGCATAAAATTTGCATATGTCAACCTAACCTCACTGCTGCGACTCGTGCCTTGCATCCTCATGTGATAGAAGCTAACGAAATACATTTTGGAAATAGGCAAAACTAAAGACTTCTTGTTTGACCATATACATTTCCTGGCATCCTCCATAATCCATAGGTCCACACTACCATCAGACGCAAGAGATTTGGTGGAATAATAAAAAACAGCTAGTTTACCTCCGTAGATCATGAGATTCGGGCTAGCTTCATCAACGGGTAATTTGATCACAGTGAACTCCTCAGAAGCAAAGTCAAAACTCATGACCACAGACACAGACCTATTCTTACCAAACCAAGCTCCATAATACAAGACACCGTTGATGGAGAAACCTTGTGTGTAAGGACAATGAGGAGGAGGAGGGATGGTGCTTTGAGTGTTTCTCCAATAAGCTCCAGGACCAAGTACCAACACTTGATGCTCGGATTTGAGAACTCTCTCGTCCTGGCCCACCTCCCAAACTATGCTAAGCACTTTGTATTCATCATTAACAGAGTCGTGCCCAAAATAGTTCCACGGATTACCATCGTCCTCCCGAAAAATAATGTTGGTAGATGTTATCATGGGCAACTCCACGTGCTGCTTGGTGGTGAGGTTACAAATTTGCAGTCTTGTCCCAATTCTGAAACAGACCAAGCCTCGAAGAGCGTTCACTATGCAACCTCCGATTCCCTGCATTTTAATATCTTGGTCTAGTAAAGAGACAGACCTGCACGAGTACGGATCCGGCGATGATGAGAGCAACGCAAACTCGGATTGTTTTTCCTGGTTCATAATATACGCACAAAGACGCCGTGGTGACGGAGTCTTAAGGAAAAGGTTAGTGAAAGATCGGGAGGAGATGATGTTTGACAACCTCGTCACCAGTTTCGCCGGCAATCTCGCTAGAATATCCATGAATATATCCTCAGGGATCTTCTCAAAGCCACAGGATTTCGAATCGGGCTTCTTCAAGAGGACTATTCTTCTACTTCTTCTTCTGGCTCCTCCTTGTGCTACCTATAGGACCGCGAAATCCCGATTTGAAAACAGAGAGAAAGAACTTTTAGAAAAAAATTTGGAAAGACGATTAAAGAAAAACTATCTTATAGTGCTCGTTACAAGGAATCCAAAGACTCCATTATCCGGTCAATCCGGTGACGGACTTCACCGGAAAGTTGGCCGGAGCCACTTGTGTAAAAATTGAGTTCCAACAGTACCTTCTTCTTCTTGCTATGCTCCTTCACGGCGGCAAGACGAAAAGACAACCCCATTGTTTTGTTTTGGACAGATCAGATCTACTTGATAACCCTAAAATTGTACTTGTAACTAAGACACAACACAACTCATCTATCCTAAGTTCCTAACTCCTAAGAAAGATCTCAAAAGATCTATCAATACTTCCTTCTTTTTGATACCCAAAACAAAACAAAAATTTGTTAAAAGGCTTTCTTCTCTTTTTTTTTGATGGTGTGGAAACTGGAAAGGCTTAAGAAAGCAAAACGACAAAATAATAATCGGGCAAATAAAAATGGGGCATTCCGAGAATTGAACTCGGGACCTCTCGCACCCTAAGCGAGAATCATACCACTAGACCAAATGCCCTTTTGTTTTATCGTTTCGTTGACATAATATTTCGCACATAATCTTAAGTTCGTTTAAGAATGTTCTCAGAACCAATCAACAAAGGAAAAGTCCACACAAATTTCCAAAAGAATTCTTAAGAATTGAAACATAAATGGCTATGGTGGTGGACCTGAGAGCTGAAGAGCCATGGCAGAGCTGGTGGACTACATGTCGTTTATTTGGATGAAAACCGACAAATCTTCTCCAAAGAGTACTTTGAGAATTGAACTCGAGCCTCTCTCATTCTGAAATTAATACAAACGCAAACATAATTTTGTTTATCAAAAAAAAATCTTGGATATGTTACTACCATATACATTAACTAGATCATCACCCGTACTACAGTACGGATTGAATTTCATTTATTACAAAATTTATATATTATATAGTTATAGAATAAAATCGTACTATATTATAATAGTAAGTAAAAAAAATATTAATTTTTTTATGTCAGTCCATATATATAATATTAGAATGAATATATTTTTATTTTTCTGTAATCCTCAATTATGGATATATTTTTAAAAGATATGAAAACGGAAAATAATATTATTTTCAAAAAAAATAATATTGTTTGAACAATGAGTTAATTTATGTTAACAACCACAAAATGAGAGTGCATATAATTTAGTTAGATCAAAAATCAAAAATGAATCGCATCTAAAACGTAGATTATTTTGAATTAGTTAAAAAAATTAGCTATTATTTTGAATTAATTTAAGAAATTATTTTTTAAAATTCTAATTCATTGGTTGTTGAAATAGAGATTTGTTTGAGCTAATTACGGAATTTACCAATTATTCACATAATCGAATATGTTATGAACATATATTTGGTATATAATAATACCAAATTCGATCCGTGTGTGGAGTCTATATTTTCATTTTGCAATCCCTATGAAAATATTGTGGCACAATCTATTATTCATTATTTCCAAAATTGCTTGCAGAATTAAATTTTCAAATATTTAGAAGTGTCAAACCTTATTTAACTCATCTCATCATAAAATCTTAAAATGTCGTCTATTATAAGGATCATAACTTTCTATCATATAATACATTACTTTTAACCCGCCGCTTACTATAAATATATTAAACATATCTTTTTAGAAATTCAAATTAGTATTTATAATTTTTTTATCTTTTTAATCTATTAAATATTTATGATATTCTTTAATATATTAAATTAAATTTTTTTCAAATGTTCCAAATTAAAATCTTTAAAATTTTTATTGTAGTATGTAAAATTATGAATTTAAAAAAATATATACATGAAATTAAATATAAATATTCAAATAGTTATAAAAATCATAACTCATTTCATCATATAATACATTATATTTAACCCGCCACCTATTATAAATATTTGTTTCAAAAAATCAAATTAGAGTATTTATATTTCTTAACTTTTTGATCTATTAAGTATTGATGATATTAAAAAAAGGAATATATTACTCAAATATGAATTTTTGACCCGTTAAATTTGTTCTTTCATACATTGAACAATTTATATTCGTTTTTAAAAATTCAAATCTTTGTATATGCGGAAAAAATTTACTTTTTTTTTTTTATTATGTAGATGATATAATAATTTATTTATTTTATAGAAATAGAATAATATAAAGATGAGAGGTGAAGTATAATGATTAATAACAAATTAATGTGATAAGTTAGATATCAAATCTTATATGTTCATTTTGATTGGTCATTCTTTAAAAAAAATTAATAATAGATTTTCGTTTTTATAATTAAATTAAATTAATTAAATTTCATAAAATAGTATTTGACTTGTTTATCCTTAATGAGTTGAATTAATTTACTCTATAGAATTTTATTTCTAATGACATTCTTAAGTAAATTCTTACAAAAGTGAAGGTTAGTTAAGGGTATCTTATAAAGTGTACTCCCCAAATAATAGTATAGGATTCTGAAAATTAAACTAGAAAAAGTTGTATATTAAATTCAGTTCATGGATATTAATTGCTTCTGTAGCCTAACTGGGTTTCGATATGTTTCTGAATTCTGGTTAGTCCTCCAATCAAACAAATCAATTCGATGAAAGTTTAGAAACATCAAAACAAATGTCTCACACATCCATCCTAAAAAACACATTTCTCATATGTCAATTTAATTAGTTTATGTACTTGATTATGTAAACAAACACGCTTGAATAAATGGTTAATGTAGTTTTATAGTCCAACCACCGACAAAACGTGCATTCCACTTCTTCTTCTTCTTCAATTGCCATGCCGCATCATATCTCAAACTTGACTAATACAAACCAAAGAAGAAGAAGAAGAATATAACAGTGAAAGAAAAAAAAACACTTATACATTAGTCTGGAAATATAAAAATGCTTGTTCATTGTATTACCAAATTTGATTGACCTTTAAATAAACCTACCAATCACTCAAAACAAATACCAGTTCGTTACACAGGGGACACTTGAAGTTGAAAGCAACCGAACAACAAAAGTTTTAAAAACTAATAAAAATGTAGGTAAATATAATAATAAGGCCAACTATGAAGAAAAGGTCTATTTTATACTTTTTATATAACCTTTTGTCACGGGCACTGTTTCATTCCCTTGGACCTCTTCTTCTTCAAGATCTATTTCTTCCTTCTTTCTCTCTACCAGATTTTGTTGTACCAGAGAGAGATCCCTTAATAATTCTTACACATTTATCTTTCTTGTCTGAATCCTAACAAAGACTCTCTAACTGCCTTTCTTTTGGTCGTTCTTAGAATTTTTGTTTATTTTTTTATTCTTTGGATTTCTCTTCCGGGTTTCAATAATTGTCACTTCCCAAGTGTAAGTAC